TCCTATACAAAATTGCATTTTACTAATGAAGAAAAACAGACTGAATGTGTGAAAGACATATGACAACACTTATAGGATGCACCGAGGAGGAGCCCAAACTACACTCAGTGGTCAAGTGATGCTTATGGTCCATGACATTGGTACAGATTCTGTGTCATGAACAATTCTTTGTGACTATATATTTCAAGTTGGAAAAGACGTTTAATTCCCACTTTAAGTTAACCTTAGTTCCCAGGTCATCTACAAGATCGATTAAAATGCTGATAAATTCAAGAAAAGATGAGACATAATCACTTGAAAGTATGATTTAAATGTTAAAAAATAATAATAAAATAAATAAAACACGTTTATTCTGTGGCACCTAAAAAAGTAATTTGGCGCCTAAAATTTTTTCTTATAGGAGCCAATGGCTCCTTACTCTATTTTTTTGTTTGGAGCTCTGCATTACTCCAGTCTTTACTGTCACATGATCCTTCAGAAATCATTCTATTATGCTGATTTGCTGCTCAAGAAACTTTAGTGTTGTCAGTGTTGAATTATCAATGATATTAGCAGTTCAAAGGAACAGCATTTATTTGAAATAGATATTTTGTGACAATATATAGTCTTAACTGTCACTTTTGATGAATGTTTGATTTCTTTCATTTACCTTGCTGAATATAAGTATTCATTTCTTTTAAAAAAATCCTACAGACCCCAAACTTTTGAATAATATAATATCATATAAAGTGGTCTATTTCTGCTGCTACAGAGGTGGAACATGCTACAGTCACAACCAGAATTATTTCTCAGATTAAGACTAAAGGAGCTGTGGGTATCGGCTTCACTTTCTTTGGGACATCCTTCCTCTTTATTACGTCCCATTTCACCTGTAAGTGGAATATTTCATGAAAATCTTAAAGGGGTCATATGATGCGATTTCAAGTTTTCCTTTCTCTTTGGAGTGTTACAAGCTGTTCGTGAATAGATAAGATCCCTGAAGTTGCAAAGACTAAAGTCTCAAAACCAAAGAGATATTCTTTATCAAAAGTTAAGACTCTGCCACACCCCCCTAAAACGGCTCGTTATATTCTGTTACACCAAATACACAAAATAATGATCTTTAAAAAAGCATCATATGACCCCTTTAAGCAATCCATGGGCAAACAACCCAGTTGTATAAAAGCCATTTAAATAAATGTTTATAATGACTATGGCATTCCATTTATGCCCAACTATAAATAAACCCAACCCAACAATCTTTGTATTTGTTTCAGCTGGAGATTCTAAAGTATATGAGAGGATCTTAGATTACGACAAAATCATAGAAGCTTTGGCACTTCCTAGAAACCTTCCTGATACCAACCCTTACCGCTCCACAACATGTGAGTGTTTCTGCGTTTGTCATATTTAGAGATTTCATTGTGCATGTATTTTCTTGTTAATGAGCAAATTTCTTTATTTATTCTTTGTTTATTCTCAGCTGATGTCACAACCCGGTATGATGAAGTCTTCTGGTTTGGAGATTTTAACTTCCGGCTGAATAAAGCCAGAGGAGAGGTGGAGGCCATTCTGAATCAGGGTGTGGGCGCAGATATGAGCCCACTATTACAACATGACCAGCTGTTGAAAGAGTTGAAAGAAGGCAAGTTAGATGCAGAATTACAGTCCTGTGTAACTTATACAGTATTTATGCTCCTTTCAAGAAAAAAATATTCATTCATTCTTTGTACTTTTAACCGGAAGAATCTGTTTGTGCATTTGTAGGTTCCATTTTTCAAGGGTTTCAGGAAGCAGCTATTCAGTTTCCTCCTACGTACAAGTTTGACATTGGTTGTGACGTCTATGACACCACCACAAAGCAGAGAACACCCTCATATACAGTAAGCTTTTTTGCTAATTGCATGTACATCACTATATACGCTTTAGTACAGTTGTTGATTTTTCCTCATTTGTTGACAGGATCGGATTCTGTATCGAAACAGACAAGCAGATGACATTAAAGTGGTCAAGTATACATCTTGCTCGTCCATTAAGACATCAGATCACCAGCCTGTCATTGGCATGTTTCAGGTCAAACTTCGTCCAGGCAGAGATAAGTAAGCATCTGTTTACAATGATTTTAACACTTGTACTTGTTTCTACTAATTTAGTAGTCATCTAGCAAAGTAGGTGAAGACTATCAAATTAAAATTCTGTCAACATTTACTCACCCTCATGCTGTTCCAAACATCAAGCTTTTCATCAATTTACGAAATATAATGTACTGTTTTGAATAGGGATGTCAACGATTAATCGATGATCGATTAATTGTCGATAAGAGATGCAATCGATTAAAGCTATCGATGGTCGATTAAGTCGTTTAATTTTGGGCTGCCATAATGTCAGTTGAAAACATTGCAATTGTGTTTTAAAATACAACAACGACCACCACGAAACCATTTAAAGAGGCGCGTTCAGCGGTCTCCGTGTCGGGATAGGAAACAGTCAACAAAGTAAAATGATCTCAAACGAGCTCTCTTCATTTTATCAAATGATCATAATCACATCTATTAATTTTACAATCCTGCTACTAGCATTTTATTCAGACTAAATCCCCTTTAAATCGGGTGAGAAAGCGGGGTTGTTGTTTTTTTTAAATAAAAAAGTAACTTTTGCGCATCCTGTCATGCCGGGCTGCATAGACGCATTTTGCAGCATGAAGGTTAACGATTAATCGATTAATTGATCGTTAATTTAAACGACGATCGATCATGGAAATGATCGAAAATTGACATCCCTAGTTTTGAAGTAGGTTTGATAAACCACTAAATCAGTGTATTATCCTCCCCAGCATTCCTTTGGGTGCTGGCCAGTTTGACAGGAGCCTGTATCTAGAAGGAATCCGAAGGAGAATCACCAGGGAGCTGAAAAAGAGAGAGGCAGCCATGAAAAACCAGAATAACAGCACGGTTTGCAGCATATCCTGATCAGGGACCAGCGTGCGAGAGCCGTAGGGTGCTAAAACGGATCCTTTCAGACACCAAGGTAGTGACTTGGAAAGCTGGACTTTCGGGAGCAAAGGATAACTCAGTACTACAGATGGCAAGTGCACAGTCCAGGGACTAAAATACTTCTGCTGGACATTTAGCAGCTAGTATTGGAACTATAAAATATTATATAAATATACATTTTACTGACCAGAGTAAGTGAAGTTAACTGTACTGTACATCCGTTATTCCTAATTCATTTTTTGTATTATTTCATATTCTGGTATTTAACTTGCAAGCCAAAATGGTCTGTTCTGTGTATGGTTTCAAATGATAGTGTTTCATGGCCTTGTTAAACCATTAACTGGTACTGTAAACACATACCAGTACCAGGTAGCTGATCCTGCTCATTTTATTGGCTCCTGAGTCTCATTTTTGAAGTTTTACTTAATGTGCTAACAGTTGTACTCCTTTATAAAAGGGAACTGTACTGTAGCATCATTACCAGCATAATGAGGTAGAATTTGTGTTAGCAGCTGTTTTTATTTATGGATTGTCATTGGTAGGTCAATGTGGGATCATGTAGAGGCTGACCTTGGGTTAAATTGTGTGCAGAATCTTAAGTGAGGAGGCACAGACTATACTTGAGTTTACTGCCTTAACATATCCAATTTAATTCAGCTTACTTGATGTCAAGTGTGATATATGGGAGCAGGAACGACCATAGTATTGGTATTGCTTGCGCATGGATCTCAGTGACTGTGGTGTAATAGTAAGTCATGCATTCACATCATGAATTTCAGTTCTATTTGTACTGAAAGTGCCTGCGATCTCTCTCATGACTGCCTCAGTGACTTCAAATACATTCTGCTGTTTAAAACCAAACAATAGCCTGTTATAAATGTTTGTTTACTATGTAAAGTAATATAAAAACTCATACTTGAAGTGTTATTTCTTATGAGATTGTTTCAGTTACACAATTTGAACCAAATATGTTTTGGGATTCAAACATAAACCAAGGAACCGGTTTCTCAATATTCAAATTGTACATGAAAAAAAATAATACAAAGGATCAAACTTTTATTTTTTTTTTAAGGGAACATGAAAGTTTTTGCTCATGACAGATTCAACCATTGTCATCTTAATAGCAATGGAAAAATATAACAGTAAACTTGTACTGATGATGTACAAGGGAATAAATATATTCTTGTAGGGTAATCCAACACAAACAGCTAAACAGACATATGAAAAAACAATTATTCATTAGTGATCGGAGGTTCATGTTAACAGTGATTTAGCAAGAGAAAAGGGGTTTATCATATACACACTATGTTTTCACTGCTAGGCTAAGTGGTAGATAAGACAGTATGTGTCATTCTGTTCAGATATAATCAAGGGGGGGTTTTTTATATCAAGGTTTGGCCAGTTTTACACAGAAAAGCACAGCCTATGAACGACAATGCAGAAATGTGAACAAATGGCATAGAAAAGTGCACTAATTGAGCCAATTAAGATAGAAATGTGAAATTAGCACATTCATTTATGTTAAACGCATGGTGAGTTCAACAAAATCATGCAAAATAATGCATTGGTGTGTAAAACTAAAGTCAGTCATCACCCCAGCATTTAAAATTTAAAAGAAATCTCCACCCAAATATGAAAATGGTCATGTACGCACCCTCATGTCATGACATGTTATGTTCCACAGTAGAAAGTCCTAGTTTTGAAATGACATGAGGGTGAGTAAATAATGACAGACTTTTTGGGTGAACTATCGCTTTAAAGTCACGTTTTAAACACTTTATAGATGAAATGCAACCACAGTCCTTCTAAGCATTGCACTTAAATTCCAGTCAAGAATAGTATTTGTTGGGACAGTCCTCATATTTGCCCCTAGATGGTGCCAGCTGTCTGTCCCCTATCGGAACAGGCGGTATATGCGAGGCAGACGTCCGTCTTTACTAGAGAGAGCGGCCTGAATGTCCTCGTACGAGGGCAGCTCTGATAGATCTCCCAGCGCTGCTACCGCAGGCTTACTACGCAGCATTTTCATTGTAACTCTCTTGATGTCACTGGCTGTAACGTTACCTAAAACAAAGAAAAGTGGAGCGAAAAAGAGTCTGTTAATGATATTTTTAGCAAACAGACGTCTCCAAGAAAGGTCTAGTGAATGGCATGATACTGATATAACATATTCAAGACAAGTAATCCAATTATTAAGTTAAATATGTACAGTCATTACACTCCAGTCTTCAGTGTCACATGAACATTTAGAAATCATTCTAATATGCTGATTTGCTCAAATTTTTAAACGGTTGTGTATTAAGTATTTTGTGAATGTTAAAAACATACATTTACATGCTAAATTATGCTTTCATATAGGCTTTATACTCTGCAGTTGCATCAATACTTACTGATGAGCTCACACAGCTCATGTGGCAGCTTCCTCTTGCCTGTTGCAAGCACTTGTCGACCTACATCTTCAAAGATGACCGGTCGTGACTCCAGGTTCATCATGAGCATGGATTTTAGTTGTGTCTTGGCTCTCTCTAGCTCCATCTGCACAAGTGAGAGATTTCAGGTTATTAACGCAACAAATTCACTATGAGTAACAAACGCAACCTTTTCACAGACTGCGATGACTGGTGATCAGTTATTAACATTGTAAATCTAGAACATTTGTAATTTTTAAAAATGTAATACACATTAAAATTTGACATCTATCTGTGTTCTGAACACTAATCAAGCTCTTGATATCGTTTTCTTCTATTGGAAAGTCATGGAAATCCTATGGTGGATTTCACAGGGTTTCTGCAGGTTTTATGAAGGCTTGAATAGCTCTGCTCACAACCACTCGAATATAGAAATAATTTGTACCTTTCCTTATGATCACATCTTGCAAAAAAGTGAGGTTCTTGCTCAGTATTTCAGTCTTGTTTTCTAGTGCAAATATCTAAATTAAATGAATTTGTTTAAAATAAATAAATAAATAAATATCAGCCAAATTCAACAGGATTTCATGCCCCGTTTGTTCTTGTTTTAAGCATAAACTTAAGCCGGGCTCACACTACAGGAGTTTTAAAATCCTAACCGATTATGAAATCTGGTTGCAGCACACACATAAGGAGAATCTTTGCAGATTATCTTCTCTCAAATCTTAAACATGCACACACTACAAGATTTGAACATCATGGCGCATCACACACTACAAGATATTATTAAGATTATGGCTTGTTTTTAGTAAATTTCTAACTGCATCTGGCAGTGGCGGATCCTGTGTAGGCAGCTGCCTAGGGCAGCTTTCTTCTCTTCTTTATACTTAATTTTAAGCGGTTTCTACAGCGTGATCTTAATGACAAATGTTGAGAGCACATAATGTTACGCGGTCCATGTAATGCGTGAGCAAGAATCTCACCGCAAGAATCCGCAAGCGTATTGTGAAAGTACTGACGTAATCATATAGCCGTCATCATCCCGATTTCAATCCTAAATATCAAACATGTTTGATATGATCGGGGCGGCCCTGATTTGTGTGCGAGCAGATCGGGAGGTGCAAGATTCGATCTGTGAACGCCTCACATTACCAGATAATCCGCGCCGAACATCGGGACCGATCGAGGGGCTTGACAATATTTTTGCTCCGATTCTTGGGAGGGGGAAATCGGGGCTAAATCGGGCTAAAAATCCTGTAGTGTGAGCCAGGCTTTATTTTGCTCAATTTCTTGCATGGTAAATTTATGTCAAGTAACTGTAACTTGATTTAAAGACGTTTAGATTGGAAACAAGGCAAAAAGAGGAAGATATGCATGCAACATTTAATGCCATGACTTTATAAATTTCATACTTTTCCCTCAGATTTAAAACCTTTTTAAGGCCTTAATTTGTGGAAGGGCGAATTAAGACTTTTTAAGATCTGCAGAAACCCTTTTTGTATGTTTTGCTTTTGGAGCAAATGGGAACTCAAAAAATGCATGTTGTAGTTTCCATTCATCACTATAGAAGTTGACCCAACTATATGACAACTTCACTTCTGATAACCCCAGAAATGTGACGAGGGTCAATAACAAAAGGAAGGACAAAAGGAAGGTCTTACTTCTCCTGCTGTCCCAGTCATCTGAATAAACTCCCTTGTTATGATCTCCACCATTTCTCGCACCTAAAAATAAATAAATGGTTTAAAATAATGCAGTGCATGGTAGTCATATATACAACATAAACCTAACTACAGTACCTGTCTAGGGTCTGCACTTGCATGGATACACAGCAGACCACTATCTTCATAGCTGTGGTGGTACGAAGTAGCATTGTACATCCAGTGATGCCTGTACAAACGACAACAAATTGCTGAAAACTGTTCACTACATTAATTACAGTGGCATTTCGGAGCATGAAGAGATGATGCCACACCTGTTGAGCACATTAAGGTAGAGACGGGTGAACATGCCTTTTCCGGGCCCTCCGGCAGAGAAGGATCCTCCACCTCCCATCATCATATTGAGGACCGCAAAGGGGATGAAGTCATCCTCCTATACATCACAGAAAAAAAAAAAAAAGACTTGCGTCAGCACATAACCATTTTCAGCAAGTGTGAAATTGAACTCATTTGACTGACTGATATGTGTAACAAACCAAAAAGGAGCAGCTCTCCAGCCCAATCATGATGTGCGTTAGTTCAGGGATGGGTGTCGGACCCAAACTCACATCTGACATGTCCTTCACCATCTGACATGAGACAAGCAGCTTAGCTGAAGTCATTTAGGAATCTTTAAAATACCAAATGATTAGGGCTTGGTAAGAAATATCGATATCTCGATTTTAATCGATTCTCATTTTACAGAACGATACCGATTCTTAAATCCTCTTAAAAGAATCGATTAGTCTAGCCTGTTTTCAATTAATGGACGGAATGTTGAAGGGCACTTCCCATCCAATAAATCGCAATAAGCATTTTGCTTTGGTACTTTTAATATGAAACAAAGTCTCAGATTCCAAACTCTGTCCATTGTATTGCGGTATTCAAACAATAAATACTGTTTTGGCGCTGTTTAATGTGGAGTGACAGATTGCTTTAGCGCCTCGATCAACAGACGTGAACTGATCATCTCCTCCACATTAATACCAGTTTCAGCACAAAATAAACATCCGAAGGTAAGTTAAAAGAAAGAGTACAACTTTACAAGCCATATCCTGTCTCATGTAATCGCTCAATCAGTGTTTCAGCCACGCAAAGACGCCAATATAACGGCTTGTAAACAATGTGTCACGTAATGTCACATTTACCTCAGAAAAACATATGTGGTGACCATAAACTCATTAATCAGATAGAAAAATAAACTGTAGAGTGGCATTTTGCTAAATATATGCACCATATAACATATTCATTATAATTTTTACTGTTCATCAATGCTTAATTTATGTTTGAATAAATCCATCAAGTTTTTATGACAGCCACCCTTTAAATGTTTATTTTTCAAAAAGAAGTAGAAGTATTATTATGCAATTGTAACTATTATTTTAAAAACTTCATTAAGTGTAATTTTAGCAGTTGTATATTAGCCTACAAATCAGTCGATTTGAACCTTTTAATATTATAGTAATGTAGTACCAACTGACTCTCATGTATATTTTACAGCTTTAGTTGATAGATTTATTTTCCTTGAGAAAATTTGGCACGTACTGTAGCTGATATCTATCCAAAATAATCGATATTGAATCGAATCGGTAATCGAATCGAAAGCTTGTGGATGAGAATCGAATCGTGAAATTTGTGTCAAAACCCAGCCCTACAAATGATGTTTGCTGGTCTTATAAATTCGCTCACCTTAACAATGCCACCCGTGTATTGTGCTACAGACTTGTCGACGTTGGCAGGTGTGCTCGCACCCCATACTGGTTTAACATTTAGGAGATACTTCCTGGCACACTGAACAAGCTGCTCGTGTTCAATCCCAACCCCAGCCAGCACCATGCGCTGCGGACAGTAATAGCTCTGTAGGTACTTATGAAGCAGCTTCCTGTCGATCTTCT